AGTGTGCGCGCGTTTCCCATCGCAGTCAGTTGACAGCTGGAAGGCAGTGGAGCTTCGCCACACAGCAAACTTTCGATTTTTCCCCCCTTCTGTTTTGCTTTGACGCTTTACGCGCCAACTACTGGAACGTTCTGTTCGTGAAAGCGCGCGGAGGGCATCCCCCTCTTCATTTATTCATCTCTTTTTTTTAATTTTTAACAACATCGTTCTTTATATAAAGCACCTATGACAGCACGTAAGTGGAAGTAAGTGAAGAACTGTCGCCGGTTCCTGAAACAAGGTGAGTGCTTTTAGAGGGTGAAACGTTAGATAGAGGACTGCGTTACATTGGTGTCGATGGACACCAGAACGCACGAGAAAACGCGCGCTTGACGATTGTCTAAACTAATGTTATTTTGCTTCTTGCCTTATCAGCACAATGTTATCAGGGGTGCGACAGCCAGCCATGTCACAGTTCCTAAAATCATGAATGAGTGCTTCATGTTTTTTTTCCTCCCCAAATTAAAGTACTGACAGGGTAGTTTGGTTCTTTATAATCCTTAAGCAATATCACACGAGCAGTGCTACTGTAGTAGCATTGTACAGATTCAGCTGTAGGCACGAGGCCGCAGGGGAAAAAAACTAGCATGATTGCTAGTGTAATATTATGCAGTAGTTATAAATATCGTGTAACTTACGTTTCACACAAAGTTTGGCGAGTTAGTTCGTATATTTCTTCTCAGCCAAAGAAAATTGTTCCGAATGTGCCAAAGTTTCAAGCTTTGGGTGTCACCAAGCAACGCTCATGCTAAAAGCCGGAGTGGAGCAAAGTGTATTAGTGGAGCGGAACGGCCCCTCCCACGCTCAAAAGCTTTCTGTAATCACTAGGCTGAAAGTCTACTCCAGGTTTTCTATGTTCTGCGCTCTGTACAAGAAACCCGTTCAGAGCGATCGTGGAGCGAGAGAAAACTCGAACTGTATGATTTACAAAACGCTCCATGCTGCACGCAAAATCATACATCTATGTAGTAGTGTTATGTCTGACACCGAAACTTAAACATTTGTGAACCACGTGACCACAATCTGGTGTAAAAGATAAACTTTAAAAAAAAAAAATCAATTTTTTTTAGTACGTTAATTCCCATAAGAAGCTCACATGAAACTTTTAAAATCGACAGATTGCGAATTTTATGAATTTGTTTTTTTTAGCGTTAATACACCCAAACAACTTATAATCACTTTTGACAATAAATCTTATTTATTAAAAAAAAAACATAATAATAATAAAACAAAATGTTCAGAAAGAATCATTTGCAGAGATAAAATGTAAAAGCGGTGGCTGTAATGGGGCACAGCAGATTTGTAGGTGCTGTTCCTTTTGACCACTAGATGGCCACAACGTAACATTTTATTATGCGGTTAAAAGCAGAACAGTGCTTAGCAAAGCTTCCTTTTGCCATTATCATTACAACTCTCCCTGCGTTCCATTCGGAAGGGCTCATCCCTATGTACTCCCTTCAAAGGGTTTACCCTCCGAGAGCTTCGAAGCGATGAAGGGTGTAGGGGTCAAAAAAAACTCGTCTTCATCTTAACGAGACGATCAAGTAGGCGCCTTCGTCATACATTTTGTACGCTGTTGACCCCCAGTCATCTTTTACATTAAATATAATGTTAGGGGTGGGCGATATGACCAAAATCTTATTTCACGGTATGATACATTTTATTTCACGATAACTATATATATCTCGATTATAGCAATTTTTATTTTTTATTTTTGTTTTTTTATTTTGTTATTAAAAATAAGACAAAGAAGTAAATTACAAACACAATAGAACAAATAAATATGAAATAAACCTTTAATTTGTTCAGCTACAGTAGGCTAGGTTTATTTAACATGTAGTAAGTAGGGGTATGCCGGTATCATATTTTCATGTTGCGATTAATTGCTAATGCTTTTATTACAGTATACGGTATTATCACGATATTGAAATCTTGTTAAAAAAAAGTGCTGTCATAATACAGTATAACAGGTTTAATAACTTTTTCCTTATAACAAAAATAACTGAACATTTAAATGCAATAAAGCAATACAGAAAAATGTATAAAGTTAAAAGTTTTACACAGATTAAAGTGCAAAAGAACCCTTTACAATAAGACCTCATTAGTTAACCTTAGTTAATGCATTAACATTCACAATGAGCAATAGCTACATTTGCTACAGAAGTTATTAATCTTAGTTAAAAAATACAAGTCTTAGTTCATGTTAGCTCATTAAATAACACAGTTGCAACTGTTATTAAATATTGGAATACCTAAGATTAATGAATGTTCAGAAGAATTTTTCATTGGCAGTTTATGTTAACTAATGAATTAACTAATG